CATCATCTGGTAACTGGTTGGTAATGGTAGGTTAAAGTGGGATCCATGTATATCATCATCTGATAACTGGTTAGTAATGGTAGGTTAAAGTGGAATCCATGTATAGCATCATCTGGTAACTGGTTGGTAATGGTAGGTTAAAGTGGGATCCATGTATATCATCATCTGGTAACTGGTTAGCAATGGTAGGTTAAAGTGGGATCCATGTATATCATCATCTGTGGATCACACTTTAACCTACCATTACTAACTAGTTACCAGATGATGATATACATGGATCCTACCCTAACCTACCATTACTAACCAGTTACCAGATGATGATATACATGGATCCTACCCTAACCTACCATTGCTAACCAGTTCCACCAGATGATGCTATACATGGATTCCACTTTAACCTACCATTACCAACCAGTTACCAGATGATGATATACATGGATCCTACTTTAACCTACCATTACCAACCAGTTACCAGATGATGATATACATGGATCCCACTTTAATCTACCATTACTAACCAGTTATAGATGCTGATATACATGGATCCTACTTTAACGTACCATTACTAACCAGTTACCAGATGATGATATAAAGTTCCAGATGATGATATACATGGATCCCACTTCAACCTACCATTGCTAACTAGTTACCAGATGATGATATACATGGATCCCACTTTAATCTACCATTACTAACCAGTTATAGATGATGATATACATGGATCCTACTTTAACCTACCATTGCTAACCAGTTCCAGATGATGATATACATGGATCCTACTTTAACCGGTTAGCAATGGTAGGTTAAAGTGGGATCCATGTATATCATCATCTATAACTGGTTAGTAATGGTAGATTAAAGTGGGATCCATGTATATCATCATCTGGTAACTAGTTAGTAATGGTAGGTTAAAGTGGGATCCATGTATATCATCATCTGGTAACTGGTTAGTAATGGTAGGTTAAAATGGGATCCAGATTATATTTTCTGTGATTAAGATAAGTATACACTTCAATATAATTGCTTGAGTTATGTGGTTAAACGAACATTAGGGTTTACTGTTGTTAATTTATCAGTATGTGTGTTTAAATAAATAGTACCTTCAATATTTTGTTTAAATGTACATTTCAAACAAATTGTTCATATGAAGATGGTTATTCAGTGCTATTATTTAATTATTTGAACTTCACTTTTTTAAATGTGTGTATTGTATTATCAGTGCTATTATTTTTTATAATGAAATTTGATTTAGAAAGGCAGTTTGATGTGTAATTTTTCTAAGCAGGCCTGGATATCATTTGTCCCACTTAAAGTCAGGAGGAGCACTCTTTAATGTGAACTCCGGAGATTCCTTTGTAAAACCACTTAACAGCCCGTTGGACTTCCCAAGTATCATTTCTCCGAGTACAGATTCTAATACTAGTCTCAAAAGCGAACTCCATGCAAGTGTCTTTTTATTTTTTAATTCTCTTATTTGTTTAAGAGGAGTTTGAGATGAAACTCATCTTGTCTGTAGAACTTGACTGTTAACAAATTATGTAGAATATAGTTAAGATTTGTAAAATGTAGCTAAGGCTTTTGATGATCCACGTTGTTTGTTCACGTAAATTGTCACTTTCATGTTCCTCAAAGAATTAGCTACATGAATTTCTAGTGTAGAATGCCAAAAGATGAGGAAGCATTGTAAAGGCATCGGCCATATATTTGTAATAAAAATCTCACTTTCCAGCCCTTTTGATAGGATCTGGTATAGAATAAAATTCCTCTAGGCACTGACCTGTGAGTGACGTAATGTCTCGTGTGCTCTTTTTAAACATTTCTTATTTTCAGTAATTAAATTAAGGACATTATTCTATCATAGATATTAAGCCTACTTGTTTCAATAAAGTTATGTTTTCGTATATCATTCAAGTAACTTATATGTGTATTTTTGAAGGCTAACTTGTTCATATCATCTATCAAGTTAGTGAATTGCATTATATCTTATTAGCCATAAATGAGAGCTGTTAGTTTCTCACTCATGCTGAAGGAAACAGTCCACAGAAATATTGAAAAACTTCTAATGATTTGTTCTTCATGAAGTTAATGGTGTCTAGTCCCAGCCGGTCTGGTGAGCCCTGGTATGGATGCGATAGGCATAGTTGTTAAAATTACATAAATTATTTCAATGTTGGCTTTTTTTTTACAGAAGTTAACCATTAGTAACTAATGTACAACTTTTAATGATTGTAGCAGCTAACCATTGTTAATTACACTGTATACATTTTATTGCTAATAAAAGGTAGCTATGTTGTATTACACAATTTTTATTACTCATAAAAACTAACCATGTTGTAGTGTACAGCTTCCAAAATAACCATTGCTAGCTGTATTGGGAAACTTTTAATGTTAACCACTTTGACTTATCAAACAGTAATATAAAAATTAGTGTTTTTTTTCTTTATGTTTTCACAATTGAAGATGTAGTGGCAGTGTGCTCATCTTCTGGTGTTTGTTTGTTTTAGCTGAATGGCAAGAGATTTTAGCATTTTAAGTTTTAATTCTTCCTAGCACTGGTGTTGTAGGATTTAGGTTTAGAGAAAACTTGATGTAGGCACATCATCACGTTCGTTTAGACAGCAGTAGGTAATAGTACTGGTGTTGTAGGATTTAGGTTTAGAGAAAACTTGATGTAGGCACACCACCACGTTCGTTTAGACAGCAGTAGGTAATAGTACTGGTGTTGTAGGATTTAGGTTTAGAGAAAACTTGATGTAGGCACATCATCACGTTCGTTTAGACAGCAGTAGGTAATACTACTAGTGTAGTAGGATTTAGGTTTAGAGAAAACTTGATGTAGGCACACC